GAGCATTGCACTCTTAGTATGCAGCACATGTAGAAAATGAGTTAAGTGTTAGCCAACCGAGCAGCGGAAGTAGACAACACTTGGCTTAATTTCTATGCTCAACCGTCTGTCTCTCTGTCTGTCTGTCAGTTTTTCCGCTTTTCCTTCTTGGCTTTCCCTTGCTCCCTGCTCCCTGCTCCCTGCTCCCTGCTCCCTAGTCCACATATCCCAAGTCTTCATTGGCCGGCGCTCATCATCATTTGGCACAGCCGCATGTTCAATATGATTCGTGACATGTTAGGGAATTAGTGGTGGAGTTTCTCCTTTCCCCCACAACAAACCAATCCACCATCCACCACCCATTGGGTGGGTTCTCCCATCCGAAGAACACCCGGTAGCAGTGGTCCAAGTTGGGTTTGCTGGCCACGTGCGCCACATGTTTGTCATGCCAAGTGGCGCCAAGCGGCCTCATTAATGTGAGTTGCTTTAAGTTTTATTTATTTATTATTGGACTTTTTCCGGGTTGCTCTGCTTTTCCCTTTTTCCGCAACCCCCTCTGACTCGCTGGCTTGATTCCCTGTTGTTTTTCCACGGATTTGTGCTAGCTAATTGCTTTTTGTTTGGCCCCAGAAACGAAACTAAAAAGGAATTTTTGGATCGGTGGATAAAGTGTGGAAATAATTATTGGCCCTGCAAGTTTTAGGTAACTTAAAGAAATAACTTTGGGAAGAAATTAAAGATAAAAAAGACATCTTAAAAATTAAAATATTTCCCCATTTTGACTTCCAAGGCATTGCTGTAATTGCCTGAAATTCCCCATCATAAGCAACAAATTTCTCGATATCGAGTATCCGACGTGTGGTCGTCGTTAACAACGCCTTGAGTTTCCCCAAAAGAAACAACTATTGGCAGTGATGCGGCATGCAAACTAGTTGTTCTTGTTTACAGTTTGCATTTAACAGTATTGCGGCATGAAGTTTGAGGCGTGTCTGGTTACTACACGAATCCCTGGTCTCTTATCATGTTAGTTGGGGCTTTATTGCCCCGGAATAGTGACTCAAGAAGTATTTGGTTACATGCCCCGGCAACCGGGTGTCACCTCTCTGCAGTTTCCCACACGCACACTCCTCAGCTCTTCGTCTAATTTGTAAAATTATTCGCACGTACTTTCTTATTAGTTTGTTTTGCCTTGTAAATTTTCGTTGCCCCGAAAAGCGAAACTTTTGCGGAAGAAGAAACCAGAGAAGATCGTTCCGGTTTCAGGGTTTCTTTAGGTACTTTTTGGGTATTTATTTAAGTTTCATTTAAAATGTTATTTTAGTATTTTTTCTATGTTTTATAAACATAGAACTTGTTACAATTTGCCATCAGAAATTGCCCTTAAATTCCCTTAAATCTTTTTGTAAATTTAAGTTTTGCCCCAGAAATACTATTTGGTTTTACTATCGACAATGAAATGCAAAAAACTATAGCCCTCGGCTATTTTGGAGTTTATTTATTTGTCAGGGACCAGCCGCCAACCCACTCAATCAAGTGAAACCGTTCAAAAAACGCTCGACCGAAAAACAAGAGAGTTGGAAAAACCTTCAGACAACAGAAAATTTCCATTTATCAAGCGGTATAACAGCGACATTTGATCAAGATATTAGCAAATGTTCAATTTATTTAGAAAAACCGCTGCGGCACATGGCCCAAAAAAAAAAAGAGGAAAAACAAGTGTAGCAGTGTGTGTGTGTGTGTGTGGGGAACACGGTAAAGGGAAAACCTAAACCGAAACCGAAAAATGCAAATCGAGCTGGGGGAATTAGTGACAGCCGAGCGGAAAGACCGACTCCACTTTCAGTTCCAGCTTTGCCCTCAGAGCTTTACCAGTGTGACATTTGCAATTGACAGTCGCATCGAGTTGAGTTTTCAGTTGAGGTTTTTCCGAGGGACCAGGGCAAAAAGAAAGTCAACTGCAGCCTTTACTACCATTCCTTCTGGCTCTGCGACAATTTAAAACTGCGAAAGTTTTAAATGTTCACCTCGCTCCTTTTTATTTTTAAGTCTTTCCTTTCGCTTGGGGCTTTTTCCTTGCGGCAAAATGTCAAACTGCGGCCAAAGTTCGCGTGCAAAATGGCGTCCCAAGTGGGCGTGGCTGTGGCAAAGGGGCGACGGTTGGCAGGCGGCTAACACGTGTGCAGTTTTCCAAAATATTTCTTTAAATTTGCCCATTTTCTGCGATTAATTTAGCCAGAGACGGCAGTTTTTCAAGCCAGTTAAGATACCTTTCGCGGCACAGTGGTAAGAAAAGGCTTCTTTGAAGATAATTTGGATTGCAATTAAACGGATTTGCATTTAAGAATTTCTTTTTTAATAAGCTGAAATGTTAAATATTAAAAACTTCCAAACGTAAACCAATTTGATTTCTAAAATTGTGACTCCCTACATGATTCACCTCTCGTCCATATACATCTGTTCATTAACAGCGCAAACACAGTGACATTTTGCCAGGTGAGAGGGACGTGGCACTTACTTTTAATTAGCAAACAAAACGAAAACGAAATCGTAAATGAAATGCCGCCGAAACCGCCCAAAAGTATGCAAAACTTTTGTTATTGTCGCCAAATAAATTTCGCCAATGCGACGGGCATGGGCGTTAAGGGGTTGCAGGTGCTGGGTGTGGGCGTGGCTGGTCCAACAAATACGCAAACGAGGGGGGAAACAACAACAAGCGGCTAACAAAAAGTTCCACCGACAGCAAAATTATGTGGCGTCAAATGCGGCGCGTCGCCTGAGGGAAAACCGCCTGCAACTGGATCCTTGGGGGCAATACAGGAGGTGTGGGCGTGGCCAGGTGGCTTTTCCACCCTCCGGTGCGGTTGCCGTCGGGCTGAAATTTATGCTGCTGTGCGAAATTTTACGCGACAGGTGGAAAAATAAAAGCAGCAGCAGCAGCAGCAGCAGCGGCAGCGGCAAAAACTGCAGCAAAAAAGTTGCATGCAAATTTCTAAATGGAGAAGGAAGTGCTCCAAGTCTGTCAGAATATCCTTGGAACTCCTTCTCAACCTGCTTCAACTTTTCCTCCCCATCACCACAGCTAAAAGAAATCCACTTAAATATTTAAAAGGACGAGGCAAAAAGGTCCCCGCGGACGAGGGCAATACAGCAGCAAAGTTCCTTCAGCTGTCCGGGTATCCTGGTATCCTTCTTTAACACTTGATTAGCGGCGCTTCTCTACTTGCCAAGTGGGTGGTATGGCTCTGGCTAGGATGGGGGTTTCCATGTTAACACTTGCCCACAACAACTGTCCTCATTAGAGAGAAGGGTTCCCAGCTCGTGACTGGCAACGTAAATCATCAATTAAAACAAATTTTCCATTTGGGGGCAATGTTTGAAATTAATTTTTAAAATGAAATGTTTTTGTAAATTATGAGGGTCACTTGAAGGGGGTCCAGAGTGAGATGAGTTGGTGGGAGAGGGGTGTTTTCAAAGGGTGTTGGAAAAGAGCTTGGGGGATCTTTTAATTTGCTCATAAAGGGAAAAGTGAGCTTTGAATATTGCAAATGAAAATCAATTTACGATTGCTTGATGCTTACTTTTTACAACAAGTTTCCACTAAGAGAAAATCATCTTTTGGAAAATGTAATTACTTCCTTTTCCAACTGCCAACCAACACTTAAAAATCTAAATAAAGCCTCGATAATAGTCCCAAAATGCGATCAATTTTGCAAACTTGGCCAGTTGCACAAACCGCAATATTGCAAGTGGTAATTGCAACTCAGTGCCAACCTCTGATAACCTTAGACCTGCTGCTTGAGTTTTCTTTCTCCTCTTTTTTTGTCATGTTAGCTTCCAGGAAAACGTTTACCCAAACCTACCCCAATAAGTGGGGGGGCATATAAATTACAGGAATAAAAACTGAAATTGCTGCAAAAACAGAAACACACTTAAAACACACACACATCGCCTTACGTACATACAAAAGCAAAGCAAAAACGGAATATTTATGAACGCACCACGCGACGAGGGAAAGCGAAAATGCGCCAAACGAAATTGTGGGAAACAGGGGGGGAGGAACTGGAAATGGAAATGGAAATGGAACCAAGACCAACGAACCAAGTCCGAAGTCCTGTGTCTACCCTCTCTCCTCTACTAAAAACTACATACATACACACACACATATATATTTCTATATAAATTTTTCCTTCTGCCGGGCAATGTTTGCTGGCAGATAAAGCAAATGGCAAAAGTGTTTTCCATGCGCGATCGATAAACACGGCGCCAGCAAGGCGGGACAAATTTTCATAGTTCAAGTGGCGCCTAGGAAAACCCACCGAACCCGCTGGCAAAATGTGAAATGTGGCCAAAGGCAGGCCAGGCCAGGCAGCAGGCGGCAGGCGGTAGTAAAAATTCAGTTCCAAGTGAGAGAGAGAAATAAATGCGATAAAAATTATTGCGGAAGTGCGCAGGCGAAGGAGCAACAGGAATGAGGTTGACGCATATTCCATGTCCTTTTTGGCCCACTCTTTTGCACCTCATCATCAGCTGGATCCTTTTGTGATTCGTTGTTGAATCATCGCCAAGGACGAAAACGAGAATTGATATCACGTGTCAGTCCAACGTCAAAGTCACTCAGTCACTTCCAAGACAGCAAAAGACCAAGGACTGCCACCCAAGTTGGTGGGCATTAAAAGCCAACGGCTAAATGAGCCGCGACTCCTTTGGATCTGATTTTATTTTTACGATTTAGGCGTGTGTTGGCCTTTAGCCGTTGCCAAATTAGTTACCAAAATTAACTTGTCTATTTGCGTGGATTGCCATTTTATGGTTTTCGACAAGAAAGGCGATTTGGCCTCTTTGCTGTTGTCATAAGACGATTAGGACTTTCGAGAGATTGGTAATAAAGATGAGTCATACGGAAAATTGTCGAAGGATAATATATTTCTCCTTGTATTCCCTGATTTGATAGGTAGGTTTATAGCATATTTAAACTGGCAATTAGAAATTTATTTAAACTTTAATAACAGTAAACGTTTCTTTCACAAATTCTGAATCACATTAATGCGGTTGGCCAGTTCATGGTTAGGGCACATCCTCCACTCTATCTTACTTAAAAGACTTCTAGCTTTTGGGATATCTGATTCCGGTAGTTGTCTGAGTACATTGCATATGAAGACTAAAAGCTGATAACGGTCGGTCTCTTCCAAATGGAACTCATCTACCATAGAAGCCAAAACTATTAGAAAACTCCAATGGGGCAATAGAAGTTCTAAGCGGCAATTGACGGCCGCCAAAAGGGGCCTTTCCTGCCGTAGTTCGTTGAGAAGAAAACTCCAAATAATATCAAGATCTACAGTTTTCGGTATTGAGATCAACTCAAGAACTTGCTGGCGTATAAAAGTCTGTTTCCGGTTCTTTATGGAATCCAAAATCTTCACAATTATATGCGTCTGGCTCTCCTTGAAATTTTTGATGAAATGTTGCAGAAAGAAAACAGCAACTTCCACCTCCGCCCAGGGGCTCATCTCATTTCGAACTACATTAAAAAGCTTATCCATGGTATTAATATCCACTAAATGGCAGATATCACCCAGAAATTCAGCTATGGGTTCTCGAAAACGATGCATATCCAAGGGTCCTGGTGGTACGATGGACTCATAGCTCTCTGGCAAAAGCAGTCGAGGGAAAAGATGGCCTAAAAGTTTCATAAAATACGGCTGATAAATGGTTTTCTGAGGATCTTTCTTGTTTTCTGACAGCAGAGACCACATTTCTAGGGACGTTTCAATCACTTTTAATGGACAATGTTCGGCTATAAGAAGCAATAGACTGATCGTTAATTTTCGTTCTTCGATTTTCGTAGGATCAGTTCGGGTCAATTTGAAGAAGGTTCTGAAAAGATTCACGAATATGTCACAATAGTTTTGCATAAGCTGGAGATTGCTAGTGGATCGTATTAAGGCCGGTTCCAGGGAAATTACCAACTTGGCTAGCTTGGAGTCTAGACAATCGCTGACCAAAGACTGTTTCAACATGGCCACTATGCATTCCGTAGCCTCCAAATGTCCTTCGACCTGGGGAGTAACTAGAATTATATTGATCCGTTGGTAGAGCTTCCGTTCCAGCATATCATCGGGTGAAACCAAACCAAACTTTATCCAGGATCCGCATACTTCCAGACATTTTGGTAGACAGACAAGACTCGGTAAATCCTGCCGCTCTAGTAATTCTTCCAGGACATTTAATACATAGTTTGACTGAAATCGTAGTTCATGTTTCATATACTCCAAAGCCGTTTCATTTACCGCGAGATTCAAGGGCCGAGTCTCTTCGGGAAGGACCTTTAGGACCTCCAAAAGTGCCATCACATGTTCGGGCCATCCGGATAGTTCTCGAACAAATTTTCTCAGTTCAGGGTTCCAACTACCACTCATAAGACCCAAAACCGACAGGCATACTGCCAATTGTACAACTAATGGCTTGCCATCCGGCATCATGGCTGCATTTTTCAGAAGATCGATCAATAAATCCCTTAACGAGATCAGCTCGGCCGTTCTCAGCTCTTCAAAGTCCAGCTTAATCTTCTTGGCTATACAAATGGCGGAGAAGGTCAGGACCTTCATGTCGGGATAGGGTCGGCTGTAGAGTATTTCCGTAACTATATTCCAAGCATTAAGCGATTTCTGAAAGGAGTCCAAGTACTCTTCGGCTGGCTGAATGATTCCCTTGCTGAGCATATCTAACGCTTCGATGACCTTTTCCTTAGTGTAAGTTATGCTCATTTTGTTCGAAAGAAAGAAAAGATAATCCAAACAAATTAAATGATATTTGTGAAAGAATATTAAACTTTTCTATAAAGTTACTTAGCTTACAAAGTATACAAAAAAGGTATGCAAAGATGGAGGGAAATTGACAAAAATCAAAGGGAAAACTAGAGGTGGTGATATATAGATTAGCTTTTCAAGGGAGTATAAACAAAATACATAAAATTAAATACTTTTACATAACAAAATACTTAAGACCAATATATCCGTACAAAATATATACACATTAAAAGTTTTTCCTTCAAAGACAGCAACTCTACTGCCCTAACCTTGATCCTGCGCGGCAATCAATTTCCCCATTGCTCTTCCAATAAATGCATTGCGTTGAGACAATAAAACTCTATGAAAACTAAACAAACAAGGGACTCGAACCCATTGTACATATAGATATGTGTCCAGATTGCCGCAACTAACGTTTGCCCAGCACAAATATTTACCCTGTCGTCTCGATTCGCCGTTCAGGACGCCGCCTCTCATCACGCACAAACGCACAAATTACAAGGGGCAGGGTATGGGTATGGGTATGGGCTATGGGATGGGTGCAAATTGGTGGGCGGAGAGGTGGAAAACTGCCTTGACCAGCGCGAACAATAAGCAATAAAATTATATGCCATATTATACATATACACTCGCCTAGCAATCCACTCACACTCGCGGCAATATAATTTTGAAATCAGTTAAGTGTTGGCTTTGTTCCTGCGGACATTCAAAGGCAGTTAGGCACAGAAAGAAAATGTTGGGAAAACTATAATAAATTTGATAAATATACATTCAATATCTAGAGCTGTTTTAATACAAAAAGTGATAGGTGTTTGTTAAAAGCTCTCAAAACTTTATGACAAACAGACCAAACAGATTTCCTTTTCTACGTTGGGCAAAAATCAGTTTGTATATCAGTTTGTTAAAATTTTTTTCACATTTATTAAACTTATAATTTCTAAGAAATATAATTGATTTTTCCTGTGCACCCAAATCCCTTAGACCAAACCCTCCAAGTCCAACTTCTCGTCCACCCCTCGCTGTAAGGGTCTGCGGGTCTGTCGTTTATTGTCGCGCCGTGCTGTTCGAGGAGTACATTAAATGCGCATCATAAATTTCATTACATTATTATGGCGTTGTTTGCGACAACAAGCGAGTGCCGTTAGCCGGATTCGAGTACTTTATTGGATCGCCTCCGCTGCACCATCGTCAAATCGCATAAATAAAACTATCCGATTCTATTGTCTATCCATCTGCCAGCGGACTCTTGGCTTTATTAATGCACTAATTATGGGGCGTGGGGGCTACGCCCACAGCGAATGCATTTTGTCAACATAATTTATGAGGTCGGGTCGAGACCCTCTTCTTTTTTTGTTTTTGCTTTCCCGAAACAAAATTTTCTCCAAGGACCAAAAGCGAGACAAGCACACACACACACGCCTTTATTTTGGCAGGGCAAACAAGAATGGGCAGGGTCAAATAACCGAATTGCGTAGGAAAATTATTATGCCTTGCCAAAATTTAAACAAAGGAGCGGCTGTCCTCGTTGTCTGGGAAATTGATTGCTTGGCACTCGCCAGCGACAAATGACAGTGAACTTATGTCGATGGAACGTAATACAAACTAACTGGGTCGCTGGGGGAGAGTAAACTTGTTTATGATATTATGATAGTATCAGGATCTAGACTAGACTAGCACAACCTCTAGGCTTATCTACCAAATAATCAAAAGAAAGAAAACAGCAATGTCCTTCAAAACAACTACAGGAAGAAAAACACTTTCACTACAACCTGAAAACCAGCAGAGTTTGGGTAAAAAATATTGAAAAAATGTTCTACAAACTAGAGCAGAAAACTTAATTTGCAGGCAAACATTGTTACGCTGCAATGCCATCGAGAGCGTCAGACAACCGCAAGAAAAAGCCAATCAAGCTTACAAGCTGACCAGGCTAACATGACACAGGACCCATAACCAAAACCATAGCCCCCTGCCATCTGATATTTTCCTGTTCAGAAAGTAAAGGCGAAAGTAATTTGCAAGCCACTTTGCAGTGCCACAAAACGGGGGCACTAAAAAAAAGAAGAACGAAAGGAGAGCTGTTGAAATAATTGAAAAATTTGCACTACATAGAAAATCGAATTATGAAGAAAGTGACGATGTCGCTGGCAGGAAATATCAATTAGCAGAAAACAAGAGCAAAACCCGATTAAAACCTTATTTATCCCAGCCAAAAATATATATAGAGAGAGAGAGCGGATAAAAAAGGACGCCAGCTATAAGGAAATAATATGGATGAAGTTTATACAAACAACCCCAGGAATGAACCGAAGGGAGGTCCTGCAGTAGCTGCAGAATTAATTGCTTTATATGGCGTGATAATTTATTGAAGCCCACGATGACCAACATGGGAGCGAAGGCAAGGTCCTGGTCCTGGTCCTGCACTTTCCAGCCAGGGATAACACAAGTATTATGCCGGCAACGAGGCGTAAGGGTCAATCACATTAGAGACATGCGATTCCGAGGGTGTCTACTCCTTGCCTTGGTCAAGGGTTGCCCTCTGCCCTCTGTCCTCTGTCCTCTGTCCTCTGCATTCTGCAATCTGATTATGTGTGTGTATTTGTGTGCGGAGGAGGGTCAGCCGGGTAATAAGTTTTTCCCTGAATAATAAACATGCCAAGAGGTACTGTGTGTTTGTTATGATGTTTGTGCCACATCGAAAATATATGGCTTGTGCGTCTGGTTAACTGTGTGAATGACGTAAGTTATACCTTTTGATTTTGGGAGATGATAAGTTAAAGTGATCATCAACAGGGGTATTTATTATTAAGGGTTTTAGTCTTTACGTTGACAAGTTAATATTTTTTAAGCCAGAAGAGATATATTGGACTTTATCATGAAAGTATCCTTGAACATTTTCACATTTTTATTAACTTTTCTTAATTTTACAGAGTATTTAAACTTCTTCACCCTTTATTTTTGAATACACATTTTTCTATGGAATTTTTTCGCTTTTCCCTCCCAACGGATTTACGCACTGGCGACCGTGGCTCTTTTGTCGACTTAGAAAGGTATGGCATGAATATAATCAGCGCATTCAATCGACTTAATTTCATTATGAATACGGAGCCAGCTAAACGTTGCCCTCTCACTCTTTGTGCCATGATTTTCTTTCGCTACTTGGCCCAAGCCGTGCTCATAAATAATCTTGCCAACTTGTCGGACAGGACACTCGCCGGTAGCTCTGGGTTTACCCTCTCTCCTCTCCGATATCTCCAACGGCTTTCGTTTTAGCCACCAGCAGCTGTTGGCTGCTCGAGTTGCAAGGAACCAGCTAATGCTCCTGCCCATGGCCCTGCTGCTACTCCTTCTCCGCTTTGGCCGCGTTGGCCGCTGTTGACAAACAAATATGAAACTAATCCTTGGTAATTAGTGCGCCAACTTTTGCTGCATTTTGAGCCAGGAAAGGACACAAGGACACGCGGACACACGGACGGGGAGTTGTAGTCGCTGCTGTCGCCGCTGGAGAGGGACTAGCGAGCTGGTTGCTCTTTCGGCATCTCAGTGTCAGCCACACTGGAAGAGAAATATTAACGAAAGGGATTCCCTATATACATTCTTTAGAAATAAGTTTAATAACATTACTCAACTATTTTTCGCAGTGCATTCCTAGCTCTTGGTCATAGGAAGTTAGTAGATTCCTTATGCTTTCTGCTTTTTGCGGTTTTCCCGGTCGCATCTCGTTGTTTTTTCTTTGTTTTTGCTATTTCTCTTTTTTTTTGGTTTTTGTGGCGGTGTCGTCGTTATTTTTATTGGAAAAGTTAAGCTTGTGTTTTGATAGGTTTCAGTCGTAAAGGGATTAATTAGTGCGGACTTCGCACCAGCGGCTCCGCCAACAGGATAAAGCCAGGCCAATGTCTGGGAGTACAAGCTCAACATGCCGCCTCGTGTCGCAATGCATAATAAAAGTTAAGCTGAGTTTCATGGAATTTTATAAGGGAATGGGATGGATATGGTATTGAATTGGAGAAGAGTATGTTGACGAGTTGGCTAAATGAGTAGGTTTTCGACAAAATATAACACAGGTTGATTGCTTTGGTTATTAAATTATTAATTATTTTTATAGGAGAGGTAATAAGAGAATAAATTACAAATTGGTAAAAACAGGAGTTAAAGCTAAAAGAACGACTGTTTTGTACAGCTAACGACCCAAACTTACGACTTTTATCATTTGTCGACGGATTTCAGAAACTCCATTTTTTGGCCAAATTTACATTTTTCATCAATTTTTGCAAAAAATGGCAAAAAATGTACATATAAAACTGTGAATGCAAATCGACTGGAAATTTAATTACGAGTTCAACGAGATATGACATTTCCTATTTTGACAATTTTTGGAGCTGTGAAAAAATATTGACTTTTTTCGTAACAAATTAAGATAAAAATTCTTGTCCAATTTTTGTGCTATCTTTTCTAGTTTCAAGCTCATAAAGTAATCAAAACAAGACGTAGGGACAAAACAAAGACAGTTTTATGCAGCTAACGACCAAAACATTCCACCTTATAACTTTCAGGCTGATATTGAGAAATCCATTTTTTGGTAAATTTTCACATTTTTGATAAGGGGTTGATGTCATCATAAATTTTCGAAAAATTGTGAAAAATTTACATTTTTAGGTGTGAACACAGTTCTTTTGGAAATTTAATTACAAACTCAACGATATAGGACATTCCATGTTCCGACCATTTTTGTCATTCTTATAGACAAAAATCAAAGTTTTTTGGGGATAAATCGGAATAATATTTCCTAAGTAATATTTGCAGCGTATTATCTACGCTTACAGCTTATAAAATAACTTAGGAATGGCTTTCTTCAGCCAACAACATAAACTTACGATTTTTTATCATTCTTTCACTGATTTTGGAAACTAATTTTTTTTTTTGGCGATTTTGGCATTTTTAATAAGAGGTTACATCATCAATTTTTCCAAAAAGTGCATAAAATCTGACATTTTTAGGTATGAAAGAAGTTCTTTTAAAAATTTAATTACGATCTCAGCGAGATATCACATTCCATATTCCGACCATTATTCGCTGTGTTATGATCAAAATACTGACTTTTGGAAAGAGATTGGGGCAAACCAAATTTAGAATTTTCTGAAAGTAACCCCTTTCTGAAAATGCTAAACTTGGTTCGACAATTTTTTTTCGAAAAATTACCAAAATTTTGACATTTTGAGGTGTGAACACTAGTCGGTTGAAAATTTAATTACGAAATCAATGATATATTTATTGCATTCTGTATGATGACCATTATCTGACATATTGTTTTGGTCAGAATACTAAGTTTTTGGTAAGCAAATTATGAACAATATTTCAAGTGCTTTATTCAAAGGTTTTCAGTTATAAATTAGTCATAGGAAGACTCACTTCTTTCCGCTAACGTTATTCAGTACTCCAACTACTTTAGCTAAACAAATTTAGATTTAACTTCAATAATATCCCGTAAATTTCATAATTTTTCTACAAAAAAACCCTACTGACAACTTGAACTCAGCACTAACCACATTTCTTAGCATTTATCCCAGTTCAAAACTCAATTACTTACGAAATTCCCCGCATAATTCTTCATCTGGCCACTTGTCTTCGGTGGAGTTTATTAATTTTATTTACCCCTTTTATGCCCCATGACATTTCTGAGTTGAAATTCCAATGCTGCAATGCTGAATTTCCCGCTGTTTTTGCCGACCGTTTGCCGCTTTTCTTATCTTTTTATTATGAACTGCAGCGACAATTTTGCTAGCCATGTCAGCGCATGATTTACGAGGCCGTGGCGTACAAATGAAAATTGTAGCGAAAAAGTGGTAAGAGAGGGACCGTAGTACTCCACCCGGACAGACAAACCTTTTTTGTGGCTCTGAAGTTTTGGCCACAAAACAGGAAGCGGAAATGAGTGCGCAGAACGACGATGGCGACATGTGAAATGTGTTTGCCACCAAAAGAAGCACACAAAATGGTAAAAAAAAAAGAAGAACGGCAGAGAAAAAGTGAGACCAGCAAACACATGCAAAATAAACGGGTTCAAGTGGCGCTAGTAAAAAGAGGGGGGTTAAGTTGACAGGGGGAAAGAGGGTTAAAGCCAAAGGATAACTGTTGAATTGTTGGCCATAATAACAAGGCAGGCGACTCCCATGTGTATGTCTATGTCCGCCCTCGTGTGGGTGTGTTTGTGTTAGCCTGTCGCGTAGCAACTTGTGGCTAGCTTAATAGCAGTTAACAGCAAACCAGAAAAAGGGGGCTTAAAAAAGAGAAGGGGGTCAAAAGGGCAGCCATGCGGGTCGCCTGTACACTTTTTCAAGGGCTTGAAGATGGAACCCTAGAACAGTGTTAGCTTGGTTAATAAATTCAATTTTATTTATTAAGCAGATGAGTTCTTTATGGAAGTTAGGAAAAGGAGTTCCGAGAATGGTACTTAAGATGTAAAACATATGCTAATAACTACCCAGTTACTAGACTGAAAACCTACTTTAATGCATAAAAAATACAATAAGAAAATGCGATTAAATCGAACAACGAACGGCAAGTGGAGTCCAGATAAATAAAATTCAATAGAACAACAAACGAACCGCGTGCTGTGAAAACAATCCAATCAATTTATTAATTAAGCAAGCCACTCTGGCCAGAGGAGTGCCTGATGTACGACTGACTATATGTATATATATAGCCAGCCGATTGTCTGTCCAGGGATTCTCCCCTGCCAACAACCCCTTCTTCTCCCACACCCACCGACTGTGTGCGTCTATTTGTCTAGCTTTGTGCAATGGATTTTTAATGTTTTTCCTTTCTGGACTTTGGCGAGTGGGTGGACAATAATGTAACGCATTGTTAAGTCCGCTTGGCACTTTTCGCACGCCAGCTGTGTCCGGCTGTGGGGTAAAAAAAAAAGAAAACGTAAGGGAAATGCCAAGGGAAAAACCCCCACCTCAAAGGAATGGAAGCCCAGCTAAGCTGCCAAGGAGCCAAGTCCGAGGAAACGAGACCGGTCTTTAATGAGCCCCAAACTGCAATTACGCAAAACATTTGCCGCACTGCATGGCGTCGTCTGAAATAATTTTAATTGCGTTTTGCTTTTTATTTTATTGCATGTGGCGCCCTAACGATTTCGTTATGCTGGACTAAATTAAACTAAAACAGGAGGCAGTAAAGGAGAGTCATTAAAAAAAACTAGACTAGCAACTAAAGTAATATTTGTACTTAAAGCGTAAAATGTTTATTGGTAAATAAAATAATGAAAATATTTGAAAAGTATAAGAAACTCATTTGTTATTCTTAGTGCCTCATCTAGATTGAGTTGTCTACTCTCTCTAAGACTTGTCAAACTTTTAAAAGCATTCTTAAGAGGAAAAGCGATATCTTTGCTAGCTGGAGTATGAAACAAACTATTATAATATTAAATATTTTTAAAATGCCAGATTTTAGCCACCTTTATCCATACTTTACAGATTAAATGGGAAAAGTTATACAACTTAAAATGCCAGATTTTACATAACTAATTCTGCGATTTACAATTTGATTTGCTTGACAAGCGAGGCTAAAGTCAAATTGATTAACAGTTTAATAAGGCAAAAAGTATATAAAGTAGAGGCTTAAGAAAGCGAATGTTACTTGTTTTTTGGCAAACAAAATGAAGCTAGCACTAGTACTATTAACCATCGTATGCATTACCATGGTGGCCCTGCCTAAAGTTCCTCCTTCTTATGGAAAGTAGAAAAATATGTAAAATAAAATGCATTCTATAACAAATTGTGTTTTAATTTAACAAAGGCTATCATCGCAGAAGGCCTTTAGCCCTCTTATAAAGAACTTTAAAGATCATTTCTACTGATTTTCAAATACATTTTAAAAATAAATTCTTTTCTAGTAGTTTGTATTATAGTTTCCACTCACAGTTGAGTGCCTACTCTTGAGCTGTTTTCCCCAGCTCAGCACTCAAAAACATTTTTTCTTTTTTCCTTTTTGAGATAGTTTTTGATAGCGCAGGCGCTTTGTGGCTAAGTTTTTTGGCTAGTAACTGCACTCAAAATTTAGTTGGCCTTTTTTTTGTATAAGCCAGCAATTTGTAACCCTCCGATTGGGGATGAATGCAATTGTCGAAAGGGGTGTCCAAGAGGGGTGGGGACAATTGCAGCTAATTGGCAATAATCAGGCATCGACCATAAATTGGCGTTAACAAGGCCAACAAATCAGCGGAACGCAGCCAGTTTGGCAGTTGGCATTGTGATTGAGCTGTTGGCATAAATCAGGCAAATTGAATTACAAAATATATATAAAAAAAATCTTCATTGGAGCAATAAAATCTAGCAATTATATTTATGCATATATGTTCGTTTTTCTGGCCTCGCGACAATTTAATTACAATTGGCCATGGAGGGAAATTGCAGTTGCCGAAGCAGCCGCCACATTGGCGCCGCAAAATATGCTAATTTATATTTATATGGATATGGAGTTATTCCCTAGCCGACTCCCCCTTTTCACTATAGCCGAACCCCGCCTCCGAAATTTCAAACCAAACTCCAGACTCTGAGGCTGTGTGAAATATTTTCGACGGCGACTGCGGTCGTAAAATTTATTGTTGCCAAATGCATATTTGTCACATTTCGCAATGTGTTTGGCGGCCATAGAACAATTTACAAGCAACTGGGGACTTTGGCTAAAAGCCTTGCCCCCTCCCTCTGCCCTGCCTCCCCGCCTCGTCTAACTTCTCATCGCAGTTGGAAAAATAAACTAAGTCCGGACTAAAAGAGCCTTCGGCTCAGCTGAAAAACAAATATTTTATACATTTAATTGTTTCCTCTTTGGCTGAGGCTTTTGGGTGAGCTAAGCTGGCTTGAAAGGAAATAAATTTCACTAATACTAATACCTAACTATTTAATTTTTTAAGAGCTGGTCTAATATTAGGTTATTTTTGTATCAGAAACATCCCCGAAAAGTCCAGAAGTTTTCATTGCCCTTTCCAGTGGCTCTCTCTTACTAAACTTCCCATCAACATGATAATTGGCTGGCACTTCTAAGGAAAATATCCATTGCCTTTTGCCCTTCAGCTGTCACAACACTCGCACACTCACCCACACACAGTTCACACCTCAGAGACTCGCTGAATGGGAATCCCCTGAATGCTCGCTAAACAAAAGAAATGAAGTCATTTGTAATTAATGAGGTTTGTCACCCCAATTTTCCGCAACTTCCACAAAAGCCAAAAAAAACGAAACATCAGACTACTACAGTGGGTGGTGGGTGGCATGAAGTTCACCTGCCTGCCTGGCATATTGAAAATCACAGTCAGCTAACCAAAAAAAAAAAAAAGAAAGGAAAACCATCCACAAAACAATCTAATTATATCGTTAAGCACACCAAAATTGGCAACAGATCCACCCCTCTGGAAAAAAAGGGAATCATCATCTTCACCCCTCAGGTGATTTGGTTGGTGGGAGGTGTCCCCTCCCCTCTCTCTTCTTCTTACCGCTGTCACCTTGACAGACAGACAGACAGACAGACGCATGCTTGACCCTGACAGACAGGCTGACTTTTGGGGTGACAGTTTCCGTTCGCTTGTTTAATTAAAATTATGTAAATAAATTTATTTAGCTGACACTGCGCAGTAATTAAGTGCAAGGGGGGGACAAGGCGGACGGGGTGCTATGCATCTGTTGCCTGACAAATTTGGTCCACCTTGATGGGGCAAGTTATGCGCTGACTTTAGATATTTACACGGAAAGATTTTGGATAACAACTTTCTCTATTCTTATGGATTTTTAAGTTTGAATTTTAATATAATTTAGCAAGAGAACTTAAGCTGATAAGTAAACCCGATCAAGGAATATGAAATATTTTTTATTTATATTTACAATTTTTAAATTGTTCCCCAAAGTCACTCCTATATCCTGCAGTGTATTTACTGCCTTTTGTCTCTTCCCGTGTCTATATATGCCAACAAATTAGCCTTGAAATGAGCAATTTGCAGGCCATGGCTGTGACGGTATGGGGGATGGAGTGGGATGTTAGAGTGGGTGGTTGGGTGTTCTTTGGCGGATAGATGGTGCTGTCTTCGCCGTGAATACAAACTGAGTTGACAGCTGCTGTCAGTGGCCGCCCGTCAATGGTGGAACGTCGTGGAGTATTAAATATTCCTTCCGGGTGGCGAGAGGCGTGAAAAAGCAATTAAGTGTGAAGTCCTTAAGGTCCCGCAACAACAACCAGCACAAAGCCAAAAAAAAAAACTACTTTTTCTTTGTCTAGGCTATGGAAGCTAAATGAAAAATGATCTAAGCCATGCTAATGGAACTTCTTCACATCACGTACTCTCACCAATTTAAAGTTTTAATAGATTTCAAGGAAACCCCTTCAATCACTTTCCATTTTTTTTTTGTAGTGAAAATCAAATAAATTCCATTTTGACAAGTCGCACAAGTTGACCTCAGCAATTCGACATTCATGGGCCTTCATAATCCCCATGCAGACTAATGAAATGCCAAAAGTCAGAGGCCCATTTCACATATGTCATTCCCACACATTTACAATCTTTGGATATATATATATGTATATACTAGTATATGTACAGTCAACTCCACACGTGCTCCATTGACGTCACCACAGTGAAGCCATGTTGACATCAACGTGGGGGAAATTGTTTTGATGAATGTGTCGATTTAATTGATGAATGAGTTTTTAAGCTGGCAAAAAATCGAATGCCATCACGTTTTTATGCTGGCATGGCAAATGTTGCTCATACACGGTGGGAAAATACTGCATAGAAAGGTTCAAAAAGTACATCTTTGGGATAAATACATTTATGATTATAATGAAATATACAAAAATCTATTTACTTTTTTATAATAAACAATAAAAACTTAATAATTTTTAAAAGTATAGACCAAGA